CTGAAGAACCACAGAGAAGAAATGTCACATGGCACCCGAGAATGGCAGCCCACACAGAAGGCCCAGTCTCTGCCCCTGGGCTCCAGACACAGAACTCCCCGACAATTCAGGCAGCCTTCCCTCTCTGTTCAACCTTGCATCTTCCAGCACAAATGGAAGCCAACGCACACCCCGTAGAACATTCTAGTGCAAGTCATACTATTTGCCAAGGCCTGAATCTCTGCCACCTCATGCTCCACGCTCATGCCGCAACTGAGAGTTGAGAAAGGTTACACTTCAACCCTTCCATCTCAGACATTCTAACTGATGACTGAGCTCAAATTCAAGAATTCGCCCTGGCTCAGTTTGAGGACTGCCTTAGAACAAAATACCAAGTGGTTGCTGGCTCCGTGGCTGGAGCTGGAGAGGAAAAGGCAAAGAAAGAAGAGTCTGCTGGTCAGGCCCCAGGCCAGTTACCGACTGAAGAACACTTTAATCTGTGCTCCAAAAAGCATCTCAGAACTCCAGGATGTGTCCACGACCTGTCTGTGGAAAGAGTGGAAAGGGATGTAGACTTTGCAACTCAGGAACTCTTTTGGGTAAACAATGTTTGCCTAATCTCTTAGCCATGTGTATAAAACAAGGGCCAAGTCCACACATCCAGGGCCCTTATTTCAACATTGTAAAGACTGGCAACGAATCTGATAAGAGTTTGGAAGTTTATTTCTCAACTAAAACAAAGGCTAGGAAGTCCAATACAGCAGGGTTTAAAACTGTTTCTTCAATTTCTAAAATGCAAAACTATCCGGAAAGGAGAAAATATTCCATCTTGGATTTATACCACGTAAGGGTAGTATTTTTATATTAGATTGTAACAAAAATAAACTAGTCTGAACTTAGATCACAGATCTTATTATTCTTGTTCATCACTCAAACCCTTCCTTGCCCTTTCCAGCACTCCCCATCAAATCCTCCTAGGAACCAGCGGTTGCGGTGGATAGCAGCAGTCCAAAAAGCGTAGTATACCGCTGCTGTTCCTTCCTGCTGCCACAAGGTGTCACTTTTGAAAACTGATCCCCTCACAGCCTGAGCTGAGATGCGGTTTCATTATTGACTGTTGAACTTTTTTTTTTTTTTGAGACGGGGTCTCCACTGTCGCCCAGGCTGGAGTGCAGTGGCAGGGTTACAGCTCACTGCAGCCTCAACCACCTTGGCTCAAGCAATCCTCCGACCTCAGCTCCCAAGTAGCTAGAACTACAAGCACTCACCACTACATCTGGCTAATTTTTTTTTTTTTCTTTTTCAGCGATGAGGTCTTGCTGTGTTGCCTAGGCTGGCCTTGACTCCTGGGCTCAAGAGATCCTCCTACCTTGGCCTCCCAGAGTCCTGGGATTACAGACATGATTCAGACCATTGCCAGACACTGCCAGAAATCTTCCGAGCAAAACGATCCCATTCCTCAAGGCTAAGCTCAACTGAGGGAACCCCAAAGTGGCAGTTCTTCCTATATGCCTGTTCAGGCTTGCTTCAGATGCTAGCATCACCCCACTAGCCCAGAAACACTGCTTCACCTTGCCCCTAAGGAAATCCATCCCCTCGGAGTGAGGAAACGTTCCCTCTTCAGTCCTCAAAACACAAAGGATATGATACACGACTGTTTTCTGCAACTGGGGGTTACATCCCTGTCATCGTCCTACAGGGAAGTCTCCCTCATTGGCTCCAGGGGCCCTGTATCTGCCTTCTGAGGAAGGGAAGCCACCCATACTGACTCCAATGTGAGTCACCCTTCCAGGAGCCACTCCAAGGCACCTACATCTCTCCTCCTAAGGAAAGCCGCCTAATGTCGTTCCAGGGGTCTTGTAAGAGAGGCTACCTTCAGAGCGTTCAAGGTGACTTTCTGGAACATTATTATTATTATCGAGATGGAGTCTCACTCTGTCGCCCAGGCTGGAGTGTAGTGGCACAATCATGGCTCACTGCGACCTCCGCTCCCGGGTTCAAGCGATTCTCCTGCCTCAGCCTCCCAAGTAGCCGGTATTACAGGCACGCACCACCACACCCAACTAATTTTTGTATTTTTAGTAGACACAGGATTTCGCCATGTTGGTCAGGCTGGTCACGAACTCCTGACCTCAGGTGATCCACCCACCTCGGCCTCCCAAATTGCTGGGATTACAGGCGTGAGCCACCGTGCCCAGCCTGGAACATTATTTTTTTTAAAGGAAAAAGCCCCACTTATTTAACTACTGGCCAAACAGTTCACTTCATTATGAATAGGCTATTTCAGTTACTGTTGAAATATCTGATCTTCATTCACTATTTAAACTTGTCATGAGAAAGCACCTTCTGAATAAAGAGTAAGGAGAAAGCACCTTCTGAAAAAAGAGTAAGGAACAATGACAACAGTTAAATATAGTCCCAACCTATTTGCCTTTTATCCTATAACAGTAATCCGTTCCTATATCCTCCATTAGAAGATACTGCAGAGGTGTTACCTGGATGTGGTTCCTGACCAAAAACATCCTTCATTTCTGCCATTCCTTTTTACGTGAACTCCTGCTCTTCTCCGCTTAGGAGAATCAGCCTATGAAGACAAAGTACAAAGACAGGTGGGGCAGCAGAATTTGAAAATACAGAAAGTAAAACCTAAGGATATGTCAATCTGCTTGTGTGGTGTTTCTGCCCATTCCAACTTATCTCTGAATCCCTCACAACATCTAGTACAGTACTTGATGGAAATATAACAAGATTAGTGTTTGAACACTGATTTCCAATAATATTTAGGCCAGGTACGGTGGCTCACACCTGTAATCTCAGCTCTTTGGGAGGCCAAGGGGAGGCAAATCACTTGAGGTCAGGAGTTCAAGACCAGCCTGACCAACACGGTGAAACCCCATCTCTACCAAAAATACAAAAATTAGCTGGTGTGGTGGTGGGTGCCTGTAATCCCAGCTACTCGGGAGGCTGAGGCAGGAGAATCGCTTGAACCTTGGAGGCAGAGGTTGCAGTGAGCCAAGATGGAACCACTGCACTCCAGCCTGGATGACAAAGTGAGACTCTGTCTTGAGGGGGGAAAAAAAAGTCTAAACCAATAGTACCTGAGAGCTTTAGGATAACTCATGCTGAAATGAGAATAAGCCTCTGGTGACCAGAGCTGTGAAGGTGAGTTTATATAGCTTCGCTGCTTTGGGTGGCATCGGTGCTCCATTGGGGCAAGCCTTGAACCCTGTGCCAGTGATATTTAGTTCCAGTAAGTCTCAGCAGGAATCTGGGAGGTGGATGGAACATTAGATATTCCTAGAGTTCCCTTGAGTTGCTTTGGGGGGCTGCTGACTGGGGAAGGAGATGCAGTGACTTGGTTCCCTGGACCTTCCTCACCAAGTGCAACTTCCACCAAGAGGACACCCCTCCTGGGCTCTCCTTGCAGCTTGCAGCATAGAGGGTCTGCAGGAGGGAGAGGAGAGGCACATCCAAAAAAAGAAGGGACAGATTCCGCTCGTCTCCAGTCCCCTGGCAGATAGGGCTTGGACACAGAGGGAGAACTCGACCCATGGAGGCTCAGAACAGAGGGCACTGCCCAGATAGGGTAGAATCTGCTAGCCTGGAGCTGCTTCATCTCCACCCATAGAGAAGAATTAGAAGAACATGAGCGGGAAACACCCAATGTGCTTACTTGCCGTTATCTGATGTTTCTGTTTGGATCACTCAGCCGTGTATTTCCAAAGCAGAGTCACCAGCCCTTCTGAAATATGCAAAATCACCCCTGATCTGTCCTACTAGACCTACAGGCTGTTATTTAGGGAAACTATGTCTCATTTACACATTAACCCCAAATTAAAATCACCATCATCAGTTACTCTTAGTTTGGTTTGCAGATATTAACTGACTAAACGGCTTCTGTATTTGGCGGTGCTGGGTGAATGGGGTGAGAGCCCCTATTAAGTGCGAGATTCTGAGTCTTAGGTAGACCTCTTTCCCTCTCCCTTCCTCCTCTCTGCAGCCCACTTTCACACCATCTCACACTCTTTACAGTTCTCCAAAGCAGGGTATCCTATTGAACTCTTGAGCATTTTAGCACATGTGGGATGCCCTTCCCTTCTTCTCCCAGGTGAATTCCTGCTCTTGCTTCAAAATCCTGTTTTAGTGTTTCCTCTATGAAACGGTGTCTGATACCCACTCATTCCCCTCCTGTGTCCCCGCTGCTCCATACACAACTGTGTTATAACACTGATTGTACTGTGCTTACATCTCTTCCTCCTGGTTGAACCACTTGAGGTCAGAGGACTGCATTTTTTTCAGTGGTGCATTTCTATCAAGAAGGGCAATGACTAACTAAATGTTAGCTGAATGAATGGATAACATAATGGATGGGAACCTTTTGATGAGATTCCACACCAAAGGATGTTTAAAAGCTAAATTTGTTGTTTTTGTCTAGTGGTTTGTTTGCTTGTGACAGAGTCTTGCTCTATTGTCCAGGCTGGAGTGCAGTGGCACGATCTCAGTTTACTGCAACCTCCACCTCCTGGGTTCAAGCAATTTTCCTGCCTCAGCCTCCAGAGTAGCTGGGATTAGAGGCATTGCACCATCGTGCCTGGCTAATTTTTGTAATTTTAGTAGAGATGGGATTTCGCCATATTGGCCAGGCTGGTCTTGAACTCCTGGACTCAAGTGATCCACCCGCCTCAGCCTCCCAAAGTGATGGGATTACAGGTATGAGCCACCATGCCTGGCCCTGAATTCATTTTTGATATGTTAGAGTCCTTGCTTAAAGAGTAAAGCAAAGAGTAGAAATCAATAGTCAAGTATGCAAATAGAGCAGCACTCACAGTGAGGACTGCTCCACGGGGATGAGGAGTATTTGATGTGAGGAAGGGAAGACACAGGTAAAGGCAGAAGATGGTGGTGGGGGGCGGGGGGGGCTTCATGGTGGTCTTCAAATGCATTACCTTACAGCTGCAAATAAAAGAGACATCCTGCATATTTTCTAGGGTTCCCAGAGGGTAGGAATAGATCCACTAGGTGGAAGGCACAAGAAAGATTTTGGCTTAACATTCTCAAGTAATCAGAGTCGTCCAAAATAGAATGAGCTCCCTTAGGAAGAAGTGAGTTTTCTGCCTCTAGAGGTGTCTGAACTTATATTGATATGACCACCTAATAATGACATTGGGATAGATAAATTTTAAGCCTTCTTCAAATTCCAAGATTCTACGTTCTTACTTGAAATTTTCACCAGGAAAGCTGGTAGAAGTGTGCTAATGAGGTCACCAAATTTCACAAGAGGCACAAGCAATTTCTGGTTTGGAATACTGAGTCAGAAATGCTGACACACATCAAAACCTAGGTGCGTTACGAGAAAAAAAGACAGATGGGCTATAACATGGGTAAACATACCATAATGCATGTCAATAATTTTAGGCAGGGTGTGATGGCTCACATCTATAATCCCAGCACTTTGAGAGGCTGAGGAGGGAGGATCGACTGAGCCCTGGAGTTTGAGACCAGCCTGGGCAACCAAGTGAGACCTTGACACTACCAAAAAAAATTAGCTGGTTGTGGTGACACACACCTGTAGCACCTGCTATTTGGGAGGCTGAGGTGGGAGGATCCCTTGAGCCCTGGAGGTCAAGGTTGCAGTGAGCTATGATTGCGCCACTGCACTCCAGCCTGGGTGACAGCAAGACCCTGTCTCAAAGGAAAAAAAAAAAAAGCTGGATACAGAACTAGGATTACCCCTAGGAAAAAGATCTGTTGTTTTCTGAAGAGAGCAGCTCAAGGAGCAAATCATATGAAAGGTTAGGCATCATATTATCACAGTGAGCACTGGAAGCAAAACAAAATGTATGATCCAACCAGTGGATAAATCCATGGTCGACCTCCAGGACAGCTGGTGTGCTGGAATTCAAATTCTAGGAGGAAACCGTGGAGCCAGATAAAGTACAAAAGAACTGACAGGCCAAGTTGACAAGAGGCGTGGTCATACAGACACTAAGATTAGGGTCCTTCAGTTGAGAGAGCTGTGGATTAAAGGGCAAAAAATCATAGGGCTTTGAGTTTAGAGCAGAAGCAGTTGTGGTCACTGAATTCTGGAATACGGGTGGTGGTTCTGGCTTCTTTTGGAATCACAGGAACTTTAGTTCATTTGACTTTATTTACTAAATCAACAGTACACAAAGTCCGGCAAGGGCCATTAGCATGTAACTAGCTGGGGTTGGGTTGGGTTTAGCTGCATGCAACGAAGACAGAAAACCACACACCTTCCTCCGTAGCAGCATCTATGGTTTCCGTATACAAGAGATTTGTGAACTCTAACTGAAATTTGGAATAACTGGAAATTATGTGGATTTGGTTGTAGTGGATTGGGCTTCAAATTCCTTTGGCCAATGTTCAAAGACTGGCGTGAAGGGATCATTTGATGACCAAACAAAAACACTGGCAAGTGGAAAGGGATCATTTGCAAAAAGGCTAAGTGGACAGAAGAAAATAAACACCAAGTACTTAAAAAGGAAAAGCGATAAACAAATGGGGGTAGTTTGGTACAGACGTTCAGTATATAGTCGTTGGGTTGAACTAAATGATGAGGTGGGAAGAACATTAGGCTGGAAATCAGGTGTGGAAGTTTCCAGCTCCGGCTTTGCCACCAACCAATAAAGCTGGAGGACTTCAGACAAGTCGTTTTATCACCCTGACCTCAGGTTTCCCACGTGTAAGGCAAAGACTGAACTAGTCCTTAAAGTGTCAGTGTTCTCTGATTTAGATGAGTGGTAAAAAGATGAAAATTCTCATTTTGAAAATGTCACTTGTCATTGAAACCAAGACCATACCAATGATTAGGGCTTCCATGTGGCCAAAGGCAGTACACCGAGAGCACTGTGATTGCAAGTGCATTGTATTAAGGAGAAAATGAGCCATGGGAGTATAGTCCTTCTTCAAATCATCCTGCAGTCTGTTTCCCCGCAAAGGGAAGGAATGGTGGTGTTCACTGTGAAAATTTGGTTTCTGTGGAGAAGCAATTGATAACAGTCCAAATGTATTGCTCAGATAGGCAAAGTTCTGCCTGTGTGGTTTATTTTGCTTGTATTTCAGCTATGTGGTTAGCACTGAAGTTTTGCTTTTAGTGCTTATTTACATTCCTGTGCACTGAACCTAAGAATAGCATCTTTTAAATAAGATTGTGGACATTCAGCTAGATATAGGAAGGTCGCATAGAACTGGTTTCCTGATAAATAACTGTAACTTTTTACAGTTACTCTTGCTTCTCTCCCTCTCCTTTTCTTCTGTTTGTATTTGCTTATTGTCTTTTTCTTACAGGAAAATCACAGAGGCAACACAAATGCAGGTCATTCCTGTACTAGAACAGCTGCATATCATGGCATTGAATAAAGAATGCGGGCTGGGTGCAGTGGCTCACGCCCGTAATCCCAGCACTTTGGGAGGCTGAGGCAGGTGGATCATGAGGTCAGGAGTTTGAGACCAGC